AAGGGAAGGGAAGGGAAGGGAAGGGAAGGGAAGGGAAGGGAAGAAGCTAGATACTAACTCCAGAGTTCCTCTGTCACAAGCAATGGTACACTGAGGTAGTAGCTCAGCAAACATATTCTGGGTTGCACTCCTTGGAAATCACTGGCACTTGCTATATCTACATCTCCCCAAACAATCAGTCCATGATCCAGAGGTTCCAAAAGAGGTTCGGCCATTGCCTGAATGCTGCTAGCCTATTGGAAGTGACCTCACTCTACCCCCCACCCTGCTGAGAATGGATGCCTGGTCACTGTGACTAGTCTTCCTGGATCAGCCTGCAGGTGCATTACAGGAACAATTTAAAGACACCACTCCTTTTGGGAAAAAAATATAAACAAATGGAACAAAAAAATTCATGCAGTTAATAAAAGTTAGTGTTCCCCTATATATCCTAGCTTCTCGCCTTAAATCTATATTGATATATATATATGCTCTTTATACATAGATATGACATCTGACCAAGAGCTACTACCCAACTGGCAAAGGCTCTACAGTCTCTTGGGTGGGCAGTAATAGAAAAGGGTATTGTACAAACTGAGCACCTTTTTACAACCAGGTAACAACAGAAGGTTGTACTTTGCAAGTTCCTTTACCTTCTTCTGCACTTAGATCTTCACATCTTGGCTCTCCATCAAAAAAGTCCTTGAATTTTAAGACATTCATATCTCTGTTACCTTGATTAGTAAATAGTTCACAGCTTTGACTACTTGGACATAAACAGTATCTCTCATAAACCTACAAAATCTTTTGGTATGGGCAGCTGTATCTATTCTCATGAGGCTCTGTTAATTTCATCATGGATATTTGCAGAATTACTCACTGATCAAATCTTATCTGGGTACATCCTGGACTAGAAAAACATTATCATCTGCTTTGTATTTCTAAACAACTTTGTGAAAACATTTTTTAAAAGTCATATAGCGTGGCCCTATCCATATCCACATAAATGGATAAATTAGTTTTATATTTTATATATAAAAATACAAATCAGCACTATATTGTATCAACTGCAATTACTTTGTGAAGGCTTCAGAAAAAAGCTTCCTCATTCTCCACATGCATGATATAGCTTTTGGACTTCTTCAGTAAAACTTTATTTTACATTAATACCTGAGAGTATTGAGGAGTGTGTAAAACAATTCATACATTTAAAACCAACTGCAGTGATGGCATTTCACGAAGTGCCTGTAACACAGTCAGAAATTTATTTTATTCTTCATTCACACTAGTGAAGAGCCTCAGGATACCATCTCAATTCTGCTTCTTATGACAATATGCACAGTATAAAAATAATGCTGCTCTGCAGAGAAAGATTGTCATACAAGCTTTAGAAGCAGACATTTTAAACTAGTTTAGCACAGACTCTCCCCTTACTTTGCTATTATTGTTAAAATACAAGCTCTTACTCTTCTCTAAATGCCTTCTAGCACCAGCTACCAAAGATTCAAGGTCAACGTTTCTTAGCTTTTACACTGGCAGAGCTTTCCTCCACAAGATCTCTACTAAATCATATTTTCTTTTTTAAAATTTCAAGTCAGATTCAAGGGGATTTTCTTGTTGCCTTGAATGCTGGAAAAGATTACAGCAGCAATAATCCAGAATGTTACAGAAAAGCAATAGTAATTACTGGGTTGAGATATAAACTCAGTATAGGCAAAGAAGCAACTGCAATCTGTCCCTAAGCAGATCAATAGTCAACACTAGGCTACAGATGGCCTGTGCTTGGACTTTCCAAACACCAGCAAAACTGCATTTCATCAACATGCTCCTAAGAAGCCAACAATGGCTCCTCTTGCCAGATAAAGTACAACTACCATGTGGTCAGACAGATTTAGCCACTGCTTTCCCTTCATTTTAAACAACCAGTATTAGTTTCTGCATCCTTGTGCAGCCTGGATTACCAAATAAGCTTCCATCTTTTTCACCTTATATTTGTACAAGGACAAATGAAAATGGGACAGAGGAGCTGGAATCTACTAGAGTCCAGACCCATGCGTAACACAGTAAAGCAGAGGAATTATGAGCAGGGCAACTTCCTTTTCTAATCTCATGGTCTTGTGCTACCACAGCCTCTGTTCTTAAGTCTTCAGCCTGCTTTGACCCCAGTCCACAATCAATTTGGAAATAGCTAATAACTAATGACTAATAATGTGGAAGACAACCTCCAAGCTGTTGACACTCCTTTAAAGTGAAAATGGGAAAAAGTCATTCCTTCTATCACAGTAATAGAAAAGAACCTGAAGAACACCTACTCTAACAGTCTCTCACACAGGTTTGCAACAGGTACACATCCAGCATCTCCAAGCAATGCTGCATGTTTTAATAACATGGTAAAGACAGTTCATTATTCAGTCCCTTTTTCTGGAGTGAAACTTATGAACAATGCAAGAAAGTGACTGTGCTTCAAACTGTTTTATTTACATTACAGACCAATAATTGATACTTCAAGGTAATTCTTCAAACTTCATTCCCTATTTGAACACCAGACTGTATTTCCAAAGCTACAGCCTTCATTTGTAAGCACTTCATGTGATTAATTCAGTCAAATGTAAAGAAAATTACACTCTGGTTCTTGCTTTAAGTTGTAAATTTTTAGCACTCTCTATTTTAGCTTTTATGTCATGAGGTTTTTCAAAAAATCTCACAAAGGCTGGCTCATTTAATAAGGATGCCAGAATCTGTTCAAAGGCAAAAGACCACTCATGGTTCGCTTCCAAACTCTGTGCTCTACTGTCTTCAGTCTGCTCAAAGCTGCTTTCCTCCTGCCTCTCTCTGGGCACTTCAGCAGCCATTTCTGTAACAGCAGCTGGACTTCTGACAGATGACATGGGACTCTGCAGTTTTCTGCCAACTTCTTCCATTTTCAGCAGGAGGCTGGTCACCACTGCGATAGCCCGATACAACAGTTCCTCCTCAGGGTCCCCATGGAACAGATTGTAGAGAGTTTTTGAAAACTGGATGAACTGAGACTACGGAAAGATATAGAGAAGACTGTTCAGAGAAGAGCAACACAACTGCCCTGTTTCACTCACTACCTGTTGTATTCTCAGTCTAGTGCCTGTGGCTGTCTGACACCTGGTGCAGCTGCTCTAATGACAGCATGGACTAGCCCTGAGAAACCTATGTGTGCTTCTAAGTCCCTCTCTTGATACATTACAGTAGCTTTAAAAAGCCACAATCTAATGATTGATGTGAAGATTTGAAAATAAAGAGATCCTACAAATCCTTTATAAATATTGTAACAGGTCTTAAAAGGTAAACTTTCATGACAAAATGGATTTAAATAAGACTCAGACAGTTTACCTGATTCATTCTTGGCAAATCCTTGACATTTTCTTCTTTTTTAAGAAGTTCATCTTGCCATTGTTTCAGATATGCCTGAATATCAACCTTCCCCTTCCCTTTTTGAAGGGGAAGAAGTGGGGGAAAAAAAAAATAAAATAAAATAAAATTTAAAGAGGAAACAAACAAGAACTAAGAGCTTCCCATACAGGGATGATAAGCAAAGGAACTGACTTCTCCAATGTCATTCCTTCTCAACAGAGTGGTGGGCCAAGGACTACACAGGACCAGAGTTCACTTTTGCCCTTTTGCTTCCATAACTACACTTCTATAAGAGGATAGAATGTTAGCAGCATACTAAGGTTGATGTTACTTAGTATACTCTGTCACCAGACATTTTCCCAGCTCTACTCGCCAAAAGACACAGTTACCAAATGTGCCGCCAGGATTATTTTACCTTTTTCTGGGCTGCTCTTCAAAGAATCACTTTCAAGATTATCCCCAACAGATGAAACTATAATTTAGGGAAAAAAAAGTTATTTATTTCAGAAAAGAGGACAAATGTTGCATTTCCCTTATCAAAAATTCCTTCCTTAAGGGGCAAGACCCACAGTGTTCTCAGCACAGATTAGGTCAATAAGAAACCACATGGTGAAATCTGCATACTTTCTATAAAAACTGAAGGCATTATGGGGCAGAAGATCACAAATGAAACTGCTATCAGTTAAATAATCTTTATAGTCTTCATGGCTCACGACTTGAAGAGCAGCAGGAACAGTACCTATATATTGCCTACTTGGGCAGATTTTAAAAACCAAAAAGGGATCTGTCTTCCCTATAAAAATCCCTCAGCTTTCACGAGTTTTTGAAACAGATTATTTTATCAACTCCATAAATTTACTAAACCTTTTTCAGCTCACTTGGTCTAAAAGCAAAGAATTTTCAAACACTTATTTATGTGCCTCAAAATAAGTATGGATTCAGTATTTTAATTCTTGTGACAGAAAACAGCATTCCTTTATACTCAGGATGCAAAAATGAAACAGCCATCTCTTCAACACCGCAACAGGCCGCCTACAATGCTGGAAAATGCCAACCAAACACACTCCTCTATTTCCATCTAAATACCCAGGGACCTTTGAATTCAACCATCACATGAGTTATCCACAAATTCTGCAAAACTTTATTAAATTGTAACTATCTACAGAAGATCTTCACAAGGGATTCTGTTAACAGGGATATCCTGGATTTAGTGGATTTACTAGTTTTTAGAAGAAAGTTCCCCATTTTTCACAGGATAATTAACAGATTCCTTCTAGTACTCTGCAGGCAAAACCTGACACTCTGGAGCTTACCACTGAGTTGGCTGAAGTGGATCAGTTCTTCTCTTGAAAGATCATTCCCTTTGGAAGGACTTTGAGATTCTACTTCAGTAAAAGCTGCAATAAATGATTGAATAAAGTGGGTTCATTGTGCCCAGGCATTACCAAAGCAGTGATAATGATGACAAAAACCAGGAGACAGCTCTCCCCAAATGCCACTGTTTCTCACTTACCTGGAGGGATATGCACCTTAAAAAGAAGCTTGAGTTTGTCAGTGAAGCTTCCATTATACATCGTATCTGTTAGGGGAAAGGACAGTCTATTCAACTGGACCAAACTTTAAAACACCCTCTTTACCTAAACAATCCAACCCAGGGAGGTTGGAACTGGACACGTGCCCTACCTTACAGGGAATATAATTAGATATGAAGCTTAAGGAAAGCACTATCACCTGTGGCTGAGGCTGGGGTTAGCCTAAACTGATGAAAGAACACTAATAATGTCTATGACTTACTAAAATAAAACCACGGAACACCAAAGAAATATGGCACTAATGTCTCAGCATTTTCCTTAAATTTTTGTTTGCTGAACAATACCACTTTGAAAACAAGATGAAAGGAACAAAGCAGTGAGCCAAGAAAATTTTAATTTCCCCAGAAGTATAAGGCATTGGTCATCCTGCACAATCTGTGTATAAGATGACATAGTATGAAGATTTATCATAAACCAAACAGGCTGGGCAATGAGATCAGACCATTCTTAATTTCCAGATATTTTAATGGTCAAGACATATTTAAACTTAATCTCCAAGAGGGAATTATTCTGTCTGTAATAAAAATCCCACTATTTGACCCTGTGTTAAGAGACTAAGTCTTCTTAGCTGTTTGTATAGTGTATGGAAAGTGATACATGCGAGGACTACTCCCAGGAGCCTTGTGAACGTGCTCATGTATGTTTGTTGCCATACCAAGAACACAGGCAAATTGTTTGAAGTTTATAAGGCAGTTGGAGTTCTCGTCCATCAGTCGGAATGTCCACAGGGCCAGAGAGTCTCTGTTTGCACAGTGTGACCAGGGGCTCAAGAGATGACAGAGAACCCTGAACTGTTGGCAATCAATCCGGTACTGGTCAAGGTAGGGCAGACTGGCATCGTGATGTTGCAGGACAGAACTGTTTACACTCCAGTAACAGGAAAGAAAATGCTCTTTCTGCAAAGCAAAGATAAAACATTAGGGCTTAGGAAACTAAAAGTCTCTCTGGGGAAAAGATGTGAGGAGTTAACTATGTAATTAGTAGTACAGCTGGCACATAAAACATTTATGAGTCCACCTTTATTTACTAAAACCATTTCAAAGTCTACCGTTAAGATGGCTGTTTAGTGAGTGAGGAAAATGGCACATTACCTTGAATAATTCATAAAGCTCTTCAAGATCACTAGGACTGAATTTTACTTCTTGAGACACAACACGTAGCTGAAACAAAATTAAGAAAAAATTAATTAATGTGTCTTCCCTCTTTGGAGTAAGCCTGTAGAATAAAATTATGGGAGACTTAAAATTACATTAAGAGACACTGTTTGCATATTCCAGGTTTTGGCATGTTACAATTAGAAGTAAGAATAGCACCTCTTTTATAAAGTAATCAGAAGAGTATAGATTAAAATAAATAATTTCTCAGAAAAAAAGAAAAGCTTAACCCTAATTCTGTTACTAACATACACAGAACCTACACTATGAAACCCAGGAGATAAAACTCAATTATTTATAATGACATAACATATAGCTTCCTTTAAATAGGCAAATGCATGTTCTGCTCTCAACAGTGAAGCTGAATACTCATTTTTTTAAATTTAAAAAAATTGTTCACAGCTTTTAAAAAAACAAGTTTGCTATAAGACCAGCGTCCAACTTCACAATATATATATGTTTTGTAAAATGAAATACAACAATACCATCTTAGCATAACCACCAGCATTTAGTTTCTGTTGCTACAAGCCACATTTACTATAGAAAGAAGCACTGGGTAGTGAATAGACTAGTGTTATCATCAGGTATTGGAAATGAGACACTTAAGAAAACAGGCAAACAAAAGAAGTCCTCACAACCTCCACCTTCATTGAGCAGTCTGAATTGAAAGGATGAGATAGGCAGATGGAGAACTGCCACATTACCAGACGTTCACAGACAAAAAGCAACACCTGTTGAATGCACTATAATAACCTCTTCAGTACTGCTTCCCAGAGTAAAAATGCAGGTGCTTAATTGTTTTACTGTATGGTGCTCTATGCCTCTAAGAGAAAAGTATTAACATCAGCAGACAGAAATATAGGTCAGCCTGTTCCAATCCACACAAAGTGTGAGAGATGTGCCAGCCTTTAGAAGTGGTTGGCAACAGTGTTACTTATGACAAGACTAGAAGGTCATGCTGTGTTTCACAGACTGAAAATATCACAGCCCAAGCCTCAGTTAACAGACAGTAAAAAATCATATATTTGGCCCTTGAAACTGCAGGTCTTCTCAGAACCTTCCAAAAGCAAATTAATTTTATCAGGGAGAAGGCTGAAACTCTTCCAAGTCACTCACCACATTCTGCTTGGTCGTAGTTTCCAAGGTCTGGATCACATAAAGCCTGTTCCTGCAGCGCAAGCTCTCAACATCCTCATAGCAAATATCACCGTATCTCTAAGAAGAAAAGCACTATTCCATGCAATCAGCTGTTGGGAGACACATCTAAACAAGTATTTTTGTCTTTCTTGCATCTAAACACAATACAGGCATGGACACAAAGGAAGATCACAGAAACTGAGGAAAAAATAATTTATTAGAGCACTAACACTCCCCTTAACCAGTGTAACTTTCAAAAGTGTGTGGAGAAAGAAGAAACTGGAGTAGTTCCCTGTGTGGGAAGACAAATGAAGGGATTTTCCTGTGTGTTGTCTCTATACCCAACTCTGCTATCACATGGTGACTACTACTGCAAGGCAGCAAAGTCTAAGATGTGCATGTTGCCAGGGACTGAAGTCCACTCTACTGCAATTAAGAAATCAGCTAAGTAGTTTCTAAATCATTCCTGGCTACCTCTGTAATTTCTGAAGAACATGAAAGGTGTCTGAGCACTGGAGTGAATAAATGCATTTATCTTTAAGGAAAAGTGGGATAGGAGGAAAAAACTAGAAACAAATTACCAGAGAAATCATGGAACAAATTATTAAACAATTAAAAACTAAACAGAAACCAGGAGATCAAAACAGGACAACATTCTTTAGCAAAACCACATCAAATCGATTAAATTTCCATTCACGAGGAAATTCAGTAGATTCAACTTCTCTTCTATAAAGTTTTTAAACACTTTTCAGCAGCACAGGCAATCAAGAAGACATGGCCTAACCATGACCACCAGGCAACATAGGCAAAACTGTTCCTAATAACAAACTTTGAGAACAAATGAATGATAAACAACCAAATTAGGCAAGACTTCCAGAAGCTTTTCTACAGTGCACTTATAACAAGATACGAAAAACTGCAACACAGACAAAAGAGTCTGAGCACATTAACTTTGATGAAAGGAACTGGTTGTATTAAATCTAGAAAAATAATAGATCTGGCAACTCCCTTTTGGAGAGCAATCTGTTAAGACTCATTCTTCTCACTTAGATGAGACTCATGATGAGGCTGGACTCTGACTGAGCAGCCTGATATAGCTGTCCCTGCTCACTGCAGAGGGGATTGCATTAGATGGTCTTTAAAGGACCCTGCCAACCCAAACTATGCTATAATTCATTATGTGACCAGACTTGAAAGCATAAATGATGAGCAACCACCTAATAGCAACAAGCAACTATGGAGAAAACCACAGCCAACTCTCCTCAATAGTGCTTTATGAACATCCAAGAGAAATTATACTCCATATTTTCCCACATGGGCAGAGAAACCCTATGATGGATTGAAGTTTTTGCAGATTTTCCTTTGTGGAACTGTTTTAACAGCACTAGACTTCTTAAAGGATGATCTGGGTGGATGCTGGACAGGAAGCTGAACTGAAAAAGCTATTGAGTTTTCTTCCAGAACTGTATTTCTATGTTTCTGTGGAGACTGTTACCAGCATCCTTCTGGGTTGAAACGAAGAGGGAGCAGAGAGAAGAAATTGCATCTCTGAATCATAACTCATTCACTGGTCTAGCTTCTGAGCAATGATATTGGGAAATGGCCTTAGTAAGAATATAAACACAATGAATAATGAAAATCTGAATTAATTTAATGTGATGTTATATAGTCTTCCATTTTCTACGTAAACATGACTTCTTCACGCCTGATTAGACTGCCAAAGAATCTGCATCTGGGCATGAGTTAAAGGAATGAAACTGAACTACATTTTAAAATTCAACTCCATACCTTTTCACTTAAATTCATTTCTCTCGTGAATACTTGTATAAACAACAGTATCACAGAGAGTATCTCTGTTCACTTCTTCATAATTTGCAACTTATTTGCAGAATGACAACTCTCTATTACAGCAATCTTCCCATTTCAAAATTTGTTGTATTTTATTTCCACAGTGTTATGAAAATAAAACCCTTCACTAAGCAGGAAATTGACTCTTACTCTGTATGAGCTGTTCTCAAATATGAGACACTTGCCAGCACTGAAGAAACTCAGTTTCAACTGAAGACAATAATTTCCATTAGGGGCTGTGAGACATAAACTGGGATATGGGCCTAAGAAAAGGGCTGTCAGCTTGGAAATGGATCTTACAAGATCCACTTCCAAAGATCTGCCCAAAACAGTGTTCAAAAGCCATATCAAAGACTATTGATTTGGTGCTGTCTCCTGCAGAATAAAGTGAGTTTTTGTTTTTCAGTTATGATTCCATCTCTGTGAAAGCTTCAACTTACACTTCTGAATGCCATATACATTATTTACCATATGTGGTCTCTATTCTGCAAGTATTAATCCTCACTTTGAGCTCTCAAGGTTTTTTCAAGAATCTTACAGCATTTTCCAAACATGATTATTCTGTGTAACATTCTTGTAAAATAATACTATAGCAGAACAGACTTTTGTATGATTAGCTCAGTGCTATAGAGACAGTTCCAAGCGAAAGTGAGTTTCTGATTCTTGACATTGTTCACCACATTAAAGGCTTCACCCTCTTTAAAAAAAAAACAAACCAAACNAAAAAAAAAAAAAAAAAAAAAAAAAAAAAAAAAAAAAAAAAAAAAAAAAAAAAAAAAAAAAAAAAAAAAAAGAAGAAGAAGAATACAGTTTCTAAATTGTAGAAATTACAGTTAGTTAATTTTTTCTGAGTCAAGGTCAGGACATTTTTTCAAAAGAGAAATACCGTGGATTTTTTACGAAAAAGATGACTGAAACAGAAGTATCACACAGATAAAAGAAACCAGTTAAGAGAAAAAGCAAAATGTGAACATATCTTTTCTTTCAGCTTGCCTTTCACTTCCCGTGGGCTGAGCAGAAACCTATCTACAAACAGATTAATACTCTGATTCACATCATGGCAAGGGGAAAAAAATGTCTGATAGAAATCTGGGGACAAAAAGGAGAAATTAGATTTCCTCCCCAATGCAGAGCTCCAAAGCTTAACATTGCAGAAAGTAAATTTGCAAATTGAAAGAAAGTACTAAAAGACCACAGCTGGTCTTCCTCACCCAACGCATCTCTAGATGCTATTTAACCCATGCCATAAACTATTCAAGTTCCACAGTTTCCCATATTATGTCAAAAGTTACCAGCATCTGCAATGTGCAGTAATCAGTCTCAAATTAGTGTAACACAAAGGCTGTTTCTGCTGTATTTTGTCATTTAGTTAACATACTAATAATATGAATGAGGGATGGTGTCTTGGGGTACAATGCAAAAATGTGTATTCTATCACCATCTGTTGAAATGTGGGAGGGGTGGTGATCCTTATCTCTGTGGGAGATATCCTCTGCTGATGTGCCATCTGATAAAATCAGGGCGATGACCATCGTTATCTTTTCACAATCCATCCTTCCTCCAGAAGATATATTCCGTTAATGGGCCATTAAGTCCTATTGTGTGACTGATAAGATTACATCATCCCATTGGGAGATGCCCCAGCCAGGGGCAGGAGCCAAGCCTTTCCTACCCAGATAAAAAACTGGGGTTTGGAACGCGAAGGCAGCCCTTTCCACTGGATCCCAGAGGGAAGTCGGACCTTTTTCTACATCCTCGCTGGACCTTGGGAGGAAAACTGCACCTTCTACAGGAGCACTGCTTCAACGGAACCCCATCTGTCATCCAGGAGGACTGCAGCCACCATTTATACTACCAACACCCTGACTGACGGGGTGTCAGGTTGTATTCTGACTCTGTTGGTGGTTTTTCTTTTGTATTATTGCATGTATTTTATTTTTTCTCTTTTTTCCTATTAAATTGTATTACTGACTTAAGAATCTCTCACTGGTTTTCCTTTCAAACCAATACAGATAGTAATACATGACCTGTGATGAATTTTGGGAACTCCCCACAGACTAGAAAGCACCTTCCCGGCAGTTAAAAACCCAAAACAATAGAAAAGCACACCTATCTCATAACCTATAAGGTTTACAGTGAGGTTCAACAAAAAATACAAAGCCAAAAAAATACAGAGCCAAATACCAATCTAGACAGAATTTCTACCCTAGTTTGTACAATGCAACTTCACTGTTTCAAGGTAGCCCATGAAACATTAACACTGCATGGGATGCAAAAACATGCCCACAAGAATACATACTTCATTTGACTCTCGGATCAAATCAGTGATGTCCACTTTTGGATGGTCACTCTTAGTATCACTGAGATTGGAGCCCTGCTGCACAGCTGGAGGCAAAGGACTGTCTTTGTTAGTGACACTGTCAAAAAATCTGCACAAAGAAAACACATGAGAAATCAGCAGGAGTCAGTTTATCACACTAAAACAATAACATCAGCATCTAGAGAACAAAAAGTGTGCAGAGTATGGGAAAAAACAAAGAATGTCAGAGCCAGTAGCACAAATGTGCTGTAATAGTAACAAAGACACTCAAACTTGTGAACTGCCCACCCAGAGAAGGTTGTAGAGCTTCTGGCCTTGGGAGTTTTTAAGACTCAGCTTATGTGATAGAGTGCTAGCAGTAATCCCCATTTGAGTGGGAAGTTAAATTAGACTTTTTTTAAGGTCCCTTCCACTTGGCATTTCCGTGGTTTTCTAATCCATATGGCAAGGCTGTATGAACTGGGACAGTGTTGGGGGTTGAATGCTTCCCTTTTCTTTCTGTGGAATTTCTCCTATTGTTATGCTAAGTGGCTACACCTTAAGGTAATGTTCTCTCGCGGGGGGGAACCGGAAAAAGGAAAGGTGGGACAGGGGTCAGGAGCGGGCTGGAAACTCTCTCGTTTGGCTCGTGGAGGGAGAGGACGCCCCGTGCTTGGATCTGGCAACTCCCCTGCCATCCCAGCACTGAGATCCACGCTCCCTGCCTTTGGACACCGCTCTGCTGCTCTCCCACCTCACCCTACTACCTCCAGACACTCTGCCGAGCACCACGACCGACACCATGAGGGGGGAGTCACTTTCCCCATCCCTCTCACCCCTGGGCCGCTGCCGCCATCACCCAGCCCTCTTCAACTGCGCGGGCCCTGCCCTGCCCACAGCACCGGTAACTGAGCGCAGGGAGACGGCCTGCGGCCAAAAGGGACTGGAACTGAATTATACTGTTCTGCTCTGTTGTCAATTTTTATAGCTGTTGTTGTTTTCTGCCTTGTTAGATATCAGTAAAGAACTGTTATTCTTATCCCCACATCTCCTGCCTGAAGGCCTCTGATTTGGACCTAAAATAATTAAAAGGGAGGGGGGTTGCACTCTGCATCGCAGGAAAGGGGCTCTTGCCTTTCCTTAGACCATACCTGTCTTTCAAAGCAAGACAGACAGAGAAAAAGGCTTGTCCTGAACTGTGAACAAGATAATCTTAATTCCCCCAGATGTATAAGACAAAGACATGCCTGATCTGCACCTACACAATAACCTACGTAATATATCTATATATCACACCTACATAACCAGCCTAAATAGATCCAGTGCGGAGGCCAGATTTTACAATAAACACCAGACCGCATGGTCTCATAACAAAAATTACATTTTCCTCAATAATTGTGTAGCTCCTACCCCATTCAAACATGCAACATGTAAAAGCCTCACTAAAAAGAAATTCTGATTATCAGTTCTTAACAGTCGTAACTTGTTAACTCCTACAGCACAGTAGTTTTGCTGTTCTAATACTCTATGACACACAACCACAGCATCAACAAGAGAATTTAGTTAGTGAAGAAAAAACTGTACAAGTTTTGTTTGCAGTACGTCAGTTTAAAGCACACTTCATCTTGCTAACATAAAACAAGGATCTCATCATGATTGAACTCATCACATTTTTTTGGTCTTATTTCTGTTTTAAACCATTAACAGCAGAGGATTCAGCATCCTAGACTACAAGAACTAAGCTGAAGAATTTGCTGCCTGTAAGCTGATACCTGAACTGTCTGGAAGAGTCATAATGTACTGTAGATCATCTCACCAAGGCAAGCTGCCTTCTATACATGATATAAATTCAAGGCAAAAAGCACATTGCTTTTTCTTTCAAATTCTCAAAATAGTTATGGTTTTAGAAGAACTTGATATAGAATGGGGTTTTCAAAGGATCGAGGCCCACTTTCCAGCTACCTCTTCCAGAATTTCAGCCTCAGATGAACACTAATTCCTTTGAAGCCTTTGGAAGTCTTGGCTAGATGTCTTCTCAGCTACCTCAGAATGACTTATCTATATGCAATTATAGCAGCACTATGTAGCCTGAAAGAGTAACAGTTACACTGATACCTGTTGAGAACAGTGACTGCTTCTGCATCGTCCTTACAAGTGAGCAGCTTCTCCATGTTGTAGTCCAGCACTGCAAGGCCCAGCTGCAATATTGCCTTTATTCCATCATAGAAGAAACAGTCCACCACATTGACTGCACTTTCAATTGGCAGCACACTGATAAAAAGGGTAAGGAACCAGGAGAGAGAGACCGAGGAGAAAAAAGTCATGTTCGTCATGTGGTCTGTCAACTGAGGCAGGTGAACCCTGACGAGCTCCTCAAACACTGCCTGATCTACCAAGGCACCTGCAGGGAAAGGATAATAAAACCACCACCCAAATCTTAACACAGAGAAGCACACTTCTCAGAGCAACAGCCAGAAACAAAATTCCTGTCCTAGTGCAGCTTTGCTGTACAAGCACACACACGTCCAGCTGCACGGAACCATTGCTTTCCACGTATGGGGCCAGAGCCTTGGGCATGCTTGAAGTATAGTGGCACTTTGGTGAGCGCATGGCTGGCTCCAGTGACTCTCCTGACAGCCAATACACTCCCTCTGCATCAAGAGAGAAACTTCACGTCCCATTTTCTTCTAACAACTGTAAGAACTGCATATGAGATCAAAGGCCAAGTCTGGACCTGACTCCTTTTCCTTTATCTAATCTGGCTAAGTTTCAAATAAATAGTATGAATTGCAGTTATAATTCCAAAACAGTACAATGGTCTGTTTGTTTCCTGAGTAGTTATGCCTGGAATACTGACAATATCTGAGAATCATATCCATGCCTATTTAAGGAGGAGTAATGGGATGTTCTCTGTAACCTCCATTTTCCACTCCACAATACCAAAACAAATGCAATGGTTTCTCTCCACTGGACAGTCTTCAGCCCATTCCTTACATTTGTTCTGAATGAACAACCATTGACATTCAATATAGGTAGACATTCCATTCAAGATGGATAAAAAAACAGATGGATGTTACCAATGATTCGGCGATTGAAATAATCAGGGAGCATCCTTTCACACACAGCAACCAAAAGCCAGAATGCTTCCTCCTCTTTAGCATACAGCAGAAGCACTGATGTCAGAATATTCATTGCCTGCAACATTCAAACAAGCAAACAAGCAAAGGAAACATTATGAGAAAAGATGCTGAAAACACAACCAGTATTATTTCTTAGAATTTATATTTCTGAAAGCACTTTATAGCACATTTTTAAAGTGCTGGGATAACCTACAGCCATATCCAGGACAAGAGTTTTACTTGTGTGGTTTTAAATACAGAACAGAGTATCTAAAGTACCTAAAAATATTTTTAAGTGCTGTATGTCTTGTTAGAATGCAAATGCATATATGAAATGGACATGACAGCATTTATAAACTAATTCAAGTACAATTTAAAAACTCATTTTACACAATGGCATGAAATAAGCAAAGTAAGTGAACCACTACGCAAGAAACTATTCCACATTTGTGACAGATTTTATGAGGTGCTACCACACTGGCACCATGAACCAATATTTCAACAACCAACACTAAGACTCTCAAAACTGCTATACCTGACAATATCCAATTTGTGGATTTCTGAATGCATAAGCTGTAAGAACTCTCCTGAGGGCAGAAATTCCTGTGTCACTTTGAAAAGCAGGATGCTCAGGTAAGGAGCGACGTAAATCTCGTTCAATTTCATCAGTAGCCAAAGTGCACGTTCCTAAGGACTTTTCCACCAACTCAGGGTAATAACCAGGGTTAGATGCCATATCATTTACAGCACCTGCCAATACATTGCATTGCAAGGTATTAGAGGACAACAGTAAAGCAGTAATTTGATTGTTTGCAATTTGTATAAGAATTCTGATGACTACTGAAGTACCTTATGATTCTCCAGATATTACTGAAGTAATGGGTCAGAGTAATTCTACCGAAATTAATGAAATCACTAACAATGAAAATTGCCAGTGATGACTCCTAAAATGAACCAATTACACTTGTTATGCAATACCTGAGAAGAGCAGCCAGAGTTCTCCTCTTAATGCCTCTGGGATGCCTCTTACAACTAGGTCTCGAGTCTTCTTTGTTCGAAACATACTGACCCCACGGCCCCGTTCTGCAAACAGGATGTTCCACGACTGTTCCTTCATTTTTTCTTTCAACTACAAAAAGCAGAAGATAACAAGCATTAAGTATACTGGTAGATTCTCCTCAGGCTACAGAGAAAAAAAGTAAATTTTGCTCCCAGTTATATATACTGGAAACTGCAGCACTGGCATCCATATTGATGTGTGAAATGAGTGCTGAAGCAGATCAGAGCAAAATCCTATGTAGAGCACAAATTTAGCATGAAATGCCATCTTATACATGACCTACTATTCTTTAAATTATGTTTATAGAAGATGAGACAGAAGGTAGATCTAATCCAGTATCCTATCTGACAGAAACCAACAACTACCACAGCACAGGAAGGTCAAACAGACATTTCCCTGAAGCAAAGCAATTGTTGATTGGGTACTCCAGCTCCATGAGGCTCCAGGGATGAGACAGGGTGAATGTCACTACTACAATTTCTGTGCATGAAGCACTAAGATTTAACACTGTTAAAGCAGTTAAAGGTGCTGAAAGGAAAAGTAGATTTTGTTCACTTTTCTTCAACATACTATAAAAAGCAGGATTTAAAAATCTGGACTCCCTTTTGTCCTGCCCTAAGAGTATTTATTTTAGGGTATTTCTAATATAAAAAATTTCATACCTTAATTTACTCAGTTCTGCTCAAAGACTTATTTTGAAATAAAACCTGTCTTCTTGCACATAGTATGGAGAAGCAAAAATTGGATATTCTGCTGCAAAAACAACTACATAAATATTCTCCAGAGCATAACTTTGTTAGACAGTGGTGCAGAAGAAGGAAACATGGAAGAAGTTTAGTCAATTTCTTAGAACATTCTCCTGGCTCCCAGAGTGTTTGTAGTGACTTTGTATCTTGAAAATTTAGATAGAAATGCAACATATTCACTATCATAAAACAAACAGCCAACTCTTCCCTGAGGGGTGGAAGAGCAGGAGAAATGAACTCCATGAAGATAAGGCATATCATTATCAAACAAGATAAGCAGAAAATTGAATGGAGCTATGAAGAAGCACTCTGTGGACTCCAAATACAGAAAATGTAGATGAAAGAAGACTGGCAAAACCCCGGAGGAAATCAGCAGCCTGGCTGGAATTAATTTTGATATACTTCACCCCTTTCCAGTGCAATTCCAAGAAGTGTTGACCATTTTATCCCGTACCATTTTAGAGTCAAGGTTCTCAGCATCCTGAGGATGGTAGACAGTCATCAGTGCTTCTGTACTGACAGTTTTGCTGTTATCTCTCTGGCCCATCTTTGACTGTCCTGCACCAAAATCCTTTGGACTGTCAGTGGCAGAACCAGTTGCAACCTTGAAATAAATTTAACAGCGGTACTCATAAATAGGAAACAATCCTCCAAGAAGTAGCACTGATACCAGACCAGGTACCAGATACAGACTTCTAAAATAAATGATAAAAAGGAGTTCCTGCTCTGCACAGCTGGGCTTTCAGGAGGCTGCACTTGGGAAAAAAAGCCATCTCTCAAAAAACAAAATTATGAAAGGACAAATATTCATAATGAGAACTAAGAATATGAGGATAGGGAGGCCCGACCATCCATCACCACCAAAAAAACCCCATTCATACAGTGAACTATATAGAAAACCTGAGAGCTCTTAAAACCAGCATTACAGCTGGAGTTGCTTTTCAAAACCCGATGAAAAACAAGGTAAAAGAACCCAAACCAGAATGCATTCACAGTAGCACCACTGTCCAACTCATTTCTCTTTCTATTTATTTTTCCAAACCTTAAAGCCTTAAGATGTATGTGACTTATTCCTATGAACCAATACTAAGAAATTAGAATTGCCAGAGCAGTTACCTCAGTACTTACGATGTGTTGTGGACTTGCAGCTGCATTGCATTTCATTCTGAGCTTTGCCACAAGCAGTCCAAAATCTCTCACCTCTATGAAACGAAAAGCTGTTTTCCCTTTGGTACTAATGATGACTCCTCTGTTAGCTGGATCTGCTTTATCCACCCCTGTGACCTATGGAACCAAGGACATATAAATTAAGCAAGGAATTTACCTGCTTACTTATAAAAGAGAAAACCTGTTAAGAAAACGTGTAAATGAAACAGTATATGAAGCATACAAGCAGACTAGGTAACATAAGTTACAAGTTGAAAGCTCAATTGCCTGTAGCTATTTTAGCAAAAGGCACTAAGTATTATGCAACGGATTTTTGACGGAGTACCAGAAATCTTCAAAAAGGTGTTCCCAGTTGTGAGTGTTCAGCTTATTTGAAAACCTTGTCTCCTTCTACCTGCTGAAGCAGCTGCTTTTTTTCCTTACCATCCAAAAGCAGAGAAAACATGACTTTTGTAAGTAATCAAATGAAATAAGTTTTACAAGATTGAATTTCCACTGAGAATACCCTGTCAAAACAGCTGTCATAACACATGACAGCTAGAGCTGACTTTAAATGCCATGATGGAACAGTTACAGATTAGAGCAGTTCAAACAGTTTAATCCCACAAGTTCAAGTGTGACAATCATGAGAATTTAGACTGATTGGCATTGCTGATGTATTCATGTTGTTAAAGGTAAAGAATGGAAAATCACCAAGTACATTGTTATAGGTAAAGAAGGAAAGACCACTGAAATGAGGTAACTGCAGTCCTGTAGAACGAAGAGTGAGGATTGACAGTCCATAAGAATAAATTTGGAGCCAGATCCTTTAACACAGCCTCTTATGCAATGGAAGTCTCTATTGCTTGCAGCACTATTTAGAGATAATCAAATAAATTGTTTTATGTAGGTGGGGAACACCAAGTGCATTGCTGAAATTAGTACAACTCACCCCCTATGCCAGGCGTCTTATGTTAGGCAGTGTGTACACAGAGCACGTAAAGCTATTACAGAGCAGTTATAGAATCTGGTTTATTAGTAGACTATTGTAAAATGTGTCTGATAAAAAGCTTTTAACACTGGAAGACTGAAATGCGTCAATGTCCCAGATCAGGTGAAGTCAAGACAGGAAATAAGAGAGCTGGCTGTTTCTTCCCAGAAGTTATTCTGCAGTCTACTATAGTATTCCGTAGAAATGCCAAAGCTGTGTCCTTTGCTATATGGTCTTTATTTTATCCTTATAGTCTGTTGAGATTATCAACTGTAATGGCATTGCTACTTGCTCACTTGACAATTGGATTTTCCTACCGACTTTTTAACAGCCAGCACTGCTCAACTGCTGCAAAAAATTGCTCTACTGAGCTAAAAAACACAGGAGTGTGATTACTAATCTTCAAAATCCTCTACCCACTACAATTCTTTACTTCTTAACTTGAGAATGTCTCATTAACTCACCTACAAGTACTAAGCAAAATATTTTTCATTTAACAAAAGGAAGTATTAAAAAATTTGGATTCTGTACCGAGCTACAGAAATAAGAGTAAATAGAAAAGGGAAAGAAAATTGAGAAACAAATCTGAAAAATGAAAGCAGCTCCAGAAACCTACAAATGGAATTCCTACATGTAGTATCCAGGATAGGGGGAAATCCATGACATCACATAAAATAAGGAGATTCTAATTAAAATCTGCTAAACTGGCATTGAAGTACACAAGTGCAAAACTGCTGGTATAACTGACTCTGATTTGTAGTTTGCATTACCTCTCTCAATGGAATGATTACACTGCACAGGCTGCCATCCTGGCTAGCAAAGCAGATATAGTTTTCTGAAATGCACATTTTCCCATGGGTGTTAAAATGACTGAAAGGAACCCATAAGAAGCATTCATGAACTTCCTTCAAGGACTCTTCTTTAGGTAGCCTGAAGAATGCACTAAACTGCTCACTGTGGGCATGGCTCTCCAGACCTCTGGATTAAAAACAAAACACATTGGTAGGAAAGAGAAAATAAAAAATTAAATAAGTTTTAAATGTCTTTACCAATACAAAAGTAAAAAATATCTTGGGAAAAGACAGTAATACATCATGCTTTCCTCTCCCAAAATCTATGGAGTCAATCTGGAGGGTTCAATGTTTTTCCTGAAGAGGCAGCAAAGGACAGGATCACACCTACCTGTACATCTACTCAAAAAAATATTGAAATATGTCACTAAACAAGACCAGATTCAATAATGTTCCTACACAGTAGAGCACTACAGAGCCTACAGGTAGTGCTAATAGCATAATATTGCTCTGTTTCCCCACACGTCAGAATAATCCATTTAAATCTAGAACAAGTTTTAGCTTGATGGAGAGTTAATTAGCTAGAAATGTAGCACATGTCATAACCATCTGCCATGGGCTAATTTTTCATAGACAACTACAACTAGAAACAATATTTTGGTTGTAGAGTAGTATCCCTCTCCAGCATTGCTACCAAACTGAGGAATCAAAGGAAAAGGAACGACCTTAACCATTAAGTTACTGATATTCATGTCTTTCCACCACTCAAAATAACACTGTACATCAGGAAAGCCATGCACCCATCTGCAACTCACTGGTTTTATCACTCACCTCCAGGGGCTTTCAGGAAAGCCATGCAGTTATCATTTACACGTCTATTAAATTATTTCTTCCTCACCTTATCCTTCCTCATCAAGTATCTCTGGAGACACTGTAGCTCTAATCTGAATTTTCTAATCCTAAATGCTGCAAGAACACCTTTTCAAAATTCAAACTAATATAAACCTTTTAGTTGGAAGACCAGCACTGAAGATTTGATCACCTCCTGCTTTCCTACAGACTTTGGATCCTGCCAAGTAACAACAAATTACAATGCGTCACATGGCTTCAGTCCAACATTTTAATGAGACAATTGGTTAAGAAAATATCAGCTTTGCTGATATTTAATATCTCCTTGAGACAAAGAGTCTCTTCCTCTTTACATAAACAAACACTGGGCCCAGAACAGAAAAACTATAAGTAATGCATTACCTCTTGGTGATTTGCAGAGGGTCATGAAGGACTGGATCATTCTCAAATGTCTCCTTGTCAAAAAGTCTTCTAACTGCATAATTTGCCAGCTGCTCCATGAGAAGGAATGTTTCACTAATGTGCAAAAACATGGAAAAATAATGATCTTCCCCATGGGAGCACACATGAATGCTCTCTGTCAGAATCACATTGGAAGTTTTCTCAAGTTTTGATATTTCATCCCAGGAGATAATAAGTTTTACTGAAAATAAAAATGTAAGGACATGTGAGTCAGTCCTCAATATCTGCCTGCATTAAAGAAATGCAGTAGTAGCAGCTCTAATAAAATACAATTAAAAAACATTGTCAAATGATAACACACTTGGAAAGGACTACAAACTAAAAATCACAAAATGCATTCTCTTCATATTTCCTAAAAAATTATTACATTAGAAAGAATTTTATAGAAAACCATTAAAACACACACCATGTATGACAACACAAGTTTACACCACCTTCTCCTTGCTCTTATGTGAAACTGCAAACAGTAAACAAACACCATGATACAAGCCAACCCCTTTCAACAGCTCACCAATAGGACTTCTTAAATTAAATCCATCATGTATTGTCATGTAGAGGAACCGTGCCCTTTAGCTATGGCATTTCTCAATACAGATCAAAAACAGCTTTGAAAGGATCCTATTTTCTGTATGTTTTCCATTTTTCACATAAATACAGTTACAGTACACACTATTAGAGGCACTTGTTCGGGCATTTCAAACTAATGTTACACAGGGAAAAAAAGACTTACGTGCAATTATCACCAGTGTGTAGTGCACCCATGTGAAATAGTAAGCCTGTGTGAAGAAATAACTGTAATCCTCGTAGAGTTAATAATACAGCATGAACTAAAGATGATGGACAACTTTTAGCTATAGTCAACTTCTGGAAGTCTGCCTTCTCTCTGAAGCTTGAATTAAGGAAGCATAATAATGGATATTGTGTAGTATGTTACACAAACAGATGCCTTTCCATAAATTATGTTGGCAGTTTCTGCTCATCTGTTGACATCTGCTCACAGTGCAAAATAGCTCCCTTAGCACATAAGAAGAATTCCTCCTATTCTGAAAGATGAGCAGTGAAGCATGAAGGGACACAGCTTAGCATCAAGGCTTACTTACTTTCTGCTCCAAGCAAAAATGAGTAGAAGCTAAGGAAGTTGGTACTAAGATACAGCCATCCTTGACAGGGGACTCTGCCCTTCCAGTAACTGCACGAGTAGTAGGTAATCAACTTCTCTTGCTCTGGTAATCCAAAACACTTCTCAAACTTCATAAGACCTTCACGAAACTTCTCAGGATCATCTTCTTTTACAAAAGAATCTTTTCCCTCTTCAGCAATCAAACCCTACATCAAAAAATCACATTACTTTATGCATGTGTCCATGTGGGTGGTTGTCATATATGCACCTGCATGCATACAGCACAGCGTTCTCCCAACAGGAGAGTAAGCTTTAGAACACGAAGAAGAGTCTGAGGATCAAATCATAGGTCACAAATAAAATGTGCTATTTCAGACTCATCCACCAAGTCTCCCACACAGCTTAGGCAAGACACACATTCCTGCGTCTTCTCTTCTAAAACAGACATATTTTACTCACTTAATCCCAAGGGTTCCTGGGCTAAATATTTACTATGTATAGAGTGAACAGAAATAGACTATATGCTTCCCAGGCACTGTTAAAATTATTGTGAAATAATTTATCAAGAGTTTTAGACCACTATCTAAAGGCATTTGATGTATCATTTACCAAGTGGAGTTTATGTCAAACAACCTTACTTAGCTGTGGGGCAGAGAAATAAGAACAATGGCACATATTAAAGTTAACAGTCACATACTACTTAACCAGAATAGGCAGCATTTCAATGCTGTCCTTGAATATTCTACAGAGGACATATAATTTGTGTAGAGTCAAAGAAAAAAAAAACCATAGCCTTTTCCAATTATGCCTGTTACTCACTCTTATCTTTCCCTGGACAAAGCTCGTAATGTCTTCATTTGAATCAAATACTGATAAAGTCTTCATAACATTGTGTTCTAACCATTCCCAATGTTCTGTTATTTCTTCTCTGCTGGATCCTATTGAAAAAGAACGTATTACTTTAAATTAGGACAGATTCAATCATTTCACCAGAACTATTAATCATGAGAATACTTAGCAAATTCCCGAGTGACAGAGTAATTTAGATACACAAGTGAAAATCACAAGTCTTAAATTTCTTAATACCTCTTGTGAACACTGAAAACGTGTTTCAGTGTACATGAAATATGAGCACTGCTGTGTTTTTCTCTTTTAGGTCCTTTATGCTGGTCTATTTTTGGCCTTTAAATACAAAAGAGTCTCAGTTTTGTCAACATTATGTGGCTCAGTGCTGAAGCCTGAATTGGACTGACAGTTCCTCTCAGCAGCACCTCCCCAACACAGACAGCACAGCACCATTGCAACACCCACAGTTTAATAGACCAGAATGGGAAATGTGAGACCAAACCCATGAAGCTCAGAAGGAAATTAAATCTGTGCCTTTGATATCCTCAGCTTTGATCTCCAGTCCACAACAGTTTACAGAGCAGAATTTCAAGACTAGGGCCTGCTGTGCAAAATCCCTAACACGTGTGAGGATGTAAAAGCAAACACCACTGGAACCAGGGAGGAAGCAAGGACTGAGATGCCACGAGTGAAACTGCAGTTTTTCAGTAAATTCAATACAGAGTCTGTACTTTAATGACAATGACTCCCCATCAAATGCCGGGGGACAGGGAGTGTGAAAGAACTTACATAGGTTTGAATAAAGGCATTCTAGAATATAAATTAATTGGCAGCTTCATCCTCCACAAGAATGCTCACCAATCAAAGCAGTCAGTGTGATCACATACTATTGATACCCTCAAGCAAGAACACGTCTTGAACAATTGCTTTTTCCTCAGCTTACTTTGTAAAGAGTAATTAACCAACTTTCAATGGACTCCACAGAATTAAAGTGGCCCTGTGAATGAACAGAAATGGCTCTAAATATAGTTAAATAGTCAGACTGCATTACACTGGATTTGCAACAACACTTAACAAATTATCTGAAGAGTAATTAACATAGCAATTACATTGCAAAAGTAATTATTTTTCTCTCTTTTTCTTTTCCAGACTACACATGTAGACCAATTATTTAAGTCACAATGTGAATCAGAGGCCCAGAGGTGACCCAGGAATAATGAAACTTTTTTGCAAGTGTTTAAATGGTTTAGGAGCCCTGTTTCAGACCCTAAATATGTACTAGCAGGAGCGAAGTGTCATCCTTCCATTTCTTCACAGAAGAAACAATCTAACACAATTAGGACAATTACATTAAGTAGCTTTCTATTGTAAAGCATATCTATGCAGCACAAAATCTATATAAATTCACTCCTAAAATTATTACCCTTTGTATTTTCCCAAGGGCTGACCTGATGGCAGTAGAACTCCCCAGAGTACACTTCCAAGATATATATTATACTTTTTTGATAGCCTGTTACCAGGTCTGACTTCTTCAGAAGTGGGCCTGAAATGTTATTTATAGTCAATTCACAAACTGTTCAAATTCTTTAAGGCTGCCCTTTCAAAGTGATATGCAATTACATTAAATTAAAGCTGCAAGAACAAATCTGTATTTACTTTTCCATTCCCTGCTGATTAATAACACGAGAAAGAGATAGAACTTACATTACAAGAACAACAGATAGGAGGAAGAATTCAGCTCTGACCATTACTGTGAACCTCCATGTTTTAACATGCGAAGACAAAGTGAATAAAAATATTAGGATAAGCATCTACTGTTATTCCTACCTCAGCGCACTTTGGAATAAGCTGACCCTGGGAGTGCATCCTGAACTGTGTCAAGTTATCCTTGAATCTTACAAAAGAAAGATTGTGCCTCTGTCACTGTAACAGTGCCCAAAGGTTTTGGTACCTGAAGGACTCTTGCAGAAAGTAGGCAATGAGAAGGTGTAATAAGTCCATAGAGCTATTCTGAAAAACTGGAACCACACTCTGCTGTCAAGCTCAGACTTGCAAATGTTTTAAAACCATTTAGAGATCACAAGAATGAATAATGATATGAAAGGATTAAGCCAACAATGGATCCCATACTTTGCACCTTCTTTTTCCACCTTCTGGACTTGGCTGATTCACAGAGCACAGTACGTACCACACGCAATGGACCAGTAGACTTGGGAGTCTGGGGTCTGATGCAGAATGCGGAATGGAGCAACCTTCGACGTTGAGTCCAACACTGCATCTAATGTTCCCACAAGGAGACCTGTTGTGTCCAAGAAAACATAGAGAGCGCAGTGAAACTCAAGTTTTGAAATGCACAATCCCCTCTGATTCGTTTCTTGGGGAACAGGAATGCTGCAGGTAAGGACTAATGAACTCTGAGAAAATAGGAAACACAATCGAGGAGAGCACAAAGTATTCCCAGAGGAACGTCTTTGGGATGTAATATTTTGATCCACTAAAAGCCATGAGGCACAAATGAGGGTGAAGAAGTTTCTTCAGATGACCCCTGTGGAAGTGATAGCTATGTGGTATGTGAAACCAGAGCACAACAGAAACGTAACAGGGCAGTCCCAGCCTTGAATGAGCACAAGGAGCAATTGAACTACCTCTTAATTAGTCATCTACTATTGTTCTGTTTTCCAAGCAAAGGAAAGAGTCCTTGAAGACCATAATTGGCTGTCACCTCCCTGCCACTAAGTAATGAATTACCTCCCGTTAAACAGAGTTCAGATGAAAATACACTACTTTCACTAAAAAGCCAAATTTCATCTCTCCAGAACCAAGACAAAAACACTGTCTGGGAAAATGAGGATGTATTTTATAATGATTCAAAATAATTCTCTCTCACTGTGCAGTAATAAAGATATTAGCCCAGATATCTTAATTGATCCTTTAAAACCTAAAAGTCAGGAAATTCTAAAAGAAGAAAAATCAATACTGAAGAAACAATTGAAACTTTTGTTTCCTGATGCACCATAAAACCTTTTCGTGTTACAACAGAAACAAAAATACAATCAACAGGATCATATGCTTCTTTCCTGTATTTCCTATGTTTGCACCCTTATAGCATGGCCACAGAAAGAGAAAAGTCAATTGAAGTGTGAGATGTTACATAGTGATTCGTGTCATAGAAACATGTGCGGGCTTGCTCGGACTTGTACCCCAGCACAGTAGGCATGACACAGCTCCACCAGAAACTGCCTATAAAAAGGGCAGTGACGAGGGATAGGATGGACGTGTTGGTGGAGCACAAACTCCCCGGGTCCCCAGCGCTGTTTGCCCGTTCCTTATCAACGAATTAATAAATTGCCTTATTGATTGACCTGCCCGATTGTGGTGAGTAATTTATAACAGAAGCAAAGCTACCAAAGCAATCACATCAGGCTCTTAGTCTCCTACAGAAGAAAAGCAAAACAAGAGACAAGATTACCCAAAAAATCATTACACAATTACTCAAAAAGCTGCTGTAAAGTTTCTGTTCCAGAAACTTGTTGAGATCATGGATGCCAAGCATTCCCAAAAAATGCTTTTAAGAGTAGAGAGCTGGAATCAAACGAACATAGCCCTTACAGAACCTTTGTATCTTTAAATACCCTTCCTGCTTTAACGGAAAATGATCTTTTGATTTTGGTTTTTAATATTCTGCAGAAGTACTAGATTTACACTACTTCAAATGCATCCCTCAAAAGTTACTTTGGAATTTTCAGGTTGGCTGCTTTGGTACTTTGGGTTTTACTTTTTCCATCAACTCTCTCTCAAATTCTGAAAAACAGAAATTGTGAAAGAATACAAGGAAACAAAATAAGGCAGAATTGCTAAGTCTAGACACTCATCTGTAGAGCATCCTGAGGATACGCTTTCAGCATAGAGCCTGTGGGATTATCTCATCGTGGCTATTCAAATTTCAAATGTATTTGCTTCTCCTCGAAATTATGAAAAAGCACGAAAAAACCCCCAAAACCAACAACGGGGGGGGGGGGGGGGGGGGCGGGAAACACAACTAGAGCAGTACATTACATCTCTGGTCTTGTCTGCAATTAACAGTTTCTAAGGTGCTGTTGGAAAGATTATTTTGTAATTCCTGACTGAAGATGGACATTGAATAAGTAACATTTATGTCCCTTTAAGCAGCTTTTGTTTACTGAACGAGCCATGACACTGAGCTGATGTCAAAGATGGCTTTGCTTCAGCAAACATTGCATTATTTAGTTCATAAATCTCCAAATAACATTTTCTATTATACATTAAAAGGATATTATTCACCATTTATAAGGCTAATGCATCTCAGCTTGAGCCAATGGTTACCACAGTGCACTAGAAAGCAGCACTCCTCAAAACGCCATCACAGCTCCTGTATGCTTGGAAGGTGTTGAGGGCTGGGTTTTCTAATACTTGTTACCTGTGGAATTTTTCCCATTGAGTTGTTAAAGAAGCACTGATGGCTGGGTACTTGAGGCAGAGGAGAGGGAAACCCTCTGGGTTTTGGGCGTTTCTCTGGGAGGGACACCTAGAGGTTAGAAGCAGGTAAAAGGAGAGTGGGAGTCAGCTGCTCTACTGCTGGCTCTTGCCTTTGGAGGAGGAGGTGCCACTCCACCGCCATAACCCAGTCGGGAGCTGCCTCTTCTTCTGTTGCTGGACCCCACACCCCTGCCCTGCTAGTGTGCTGTTTGTGAGAGTCCTGCTGCAGCACCGGTACTGACACTGCCCCAGGATTCCTGAAGCAAAGCCTCTCTTCCATCCCTTTCCGTCTTGGCCATGCTGCCATTACCGCATTGTCTTGGTTTCAAAGACAGGTGTTTGCCAAGAAAGGCAGGAGCTTATTATAATTTTGAAATTAAGGGGCTCTCAGGTGAAGATATGGGAATAGGAATAACAGTTCTTTACTAGGAAAATGAAAAGAGAAATACAGTATTACAAAGAACAAACCTAAAAACACTGACAGAGTCAGAATACAACCTGACACCCCATCAGTCAGGGTGTTGGCAGTAGCCTGATTAAATGGTGGCTGCAGTCCACTTGGATGACAGATGTGGTTCAGTTGAAGCAGTGGTTCTGTAGAAGGGTGCAGTTTTTTTCCGAAGGTCCAGTGATGACGTGGAAAGGTTCAGGTTTTTTTCTGGAATCTGGTGGGAAAAGGCTGTCTTGGTGTTCCAGATTTCAGTTTTTATCTAAGTAGGAAAGGCTTGGCTCCTTTCCCTGGCTGGAACATTTCCTAATGGGATGATGTAATTTTATCAGTCACACAGTGAGACCTAATGGGATGATGTAATTTTATCAATCATTTCATGGGACTTAACAGTCCATTAACAGATGATATCTTCCTGGAGGAAGGATGCATTGTGGAAAAGATAAGAATGATTGCCCCACCAGATTTTAACAGAGAGCCCATTAGTAGAGAATATCTCCCACAGAGATAAGGATTACTGCCCCACTTGTTTTCAATAGATGGTGATAGAATACATACTTTTGGTCACATCCTGTATTGCAAACTAAGACACGCATGCTCCCCAAGCTCGCACCACAGCGCCCCCTGCAGCCACGCAGAGATCATGGCACCTGCCCTGCCCACCGGGAGCCACCAGCGCCCCTGCTGGCTGTGACTGGAACTGTACCAAAGGGAAAGTACCTGCAGCCAAGGGGAGTGTTACTGGGTGCCTGTTCTGTTTGTTGTTAATTCCATAGTTTTTGTTGTTTTGTTTGCCTTATTATACATACTAGTAAAGAACTGTTATTCCTATCCTCATATGTTTGCCTGAGAGCCCCTTAATTTCAAAATCATAATAATTGGAGGGAGGGAGTTTACATTCTCCAGTCCAGGGGAGGTTTCTGCCTTCCTTAGCAGGCACCTGTCTTTCAAACCGAGACATAAGGTCATCAGATTTTAGAAACAATTAACTGTACCAGGTAAGTATCCATCACCTCAGCATTGCCAGAAGTCATGAATGGGATCTAGACTACAGGTTTGAGCCTAAGGCAATAAATAGCCTGTCAATACAGTACAAACTACTTCCATGGCTATGGACACTGGCATAACTGTGAGTTACAGCAAAGGCTCACTCATATTTGCATCCTAGTCCTGAAAGTCCTCCAGGAGCTGACAATGTTTGGAATACTGCATTACTGGTCGGGGTTGCTATACCTTCAAGTTCTTGTGTGTTTCTCCCCAAGCACTCCCTTGGATTGCTATTTCCCAATGGGAACCAAGAGACAACTACAGAGGGTCTCCTACTTTCATCTCTGCTTAAAACTAAAGTTTCTCCTGGGCATTCCACCTAATCATCCTCTTGCTTTGCTCACAGAATGATTTCAGCTATATCTATGGAAAGTGATACACATTTATACGAAAAAAAGGCTCTGCTTTTAGAAAACATTTTCAGTTTCATAGCTGCCTGAGAACAGCTACTGGGAAATACCCTAGATGCTTCAGTAAATAGGGTAAAATACTCTAGAAACCAAAGTAAATGGCAATGATCCATAATAGCTTTGAAATACAGATATGTAATTCCCAATATGTCTCCAAAAGACTTGGTTAGGAAAATACCAACATTAGCTCAAAGAATACCACAAAACATCAGCCTTGAATTTTGATCTCAGTTGTACCAATATAGGGCACGTATCAATTGACAGTACATGTTAATAACTGCACAGCATTTTGCCATTTGGGGTCAACACCACTTTGTCTTATATTTATTTGACCAAGTACACCAAGAGAATACTAATATTGGTGCTTTATTTCAGTCCTTTTGAAACCACAATTTCAAAGATTTTTATTTTCTTCTCCTGGAATAGCATCAGTTACAGCTTTTTATTTCTATGGATCTACTTTATTTATAACAATTTGACAACTTCCTATCCTTTGTGGGGCTAGTGTAACGCAAACAGTATCAGTTTCCTTTTACTGATGAAAAATCAGAAGCAAAGAAAACATGCTTCTGTCTTCTTTTTCAAAGAGCACTATTCTTCTGAAGCAAAGTCCGCACAGGTCTGGTCACTCCTCTAATGCAGAACAATGCCTTTGAGGTCAACAATTAATTATATAAAAACTGGATCAAACAGCCTGTTTTGCTACATT